TTTCCAGCTTTCTTTTCGATATATTTTTATCTATTTTCATTCAACCATTATTGAGAACAAAATAAATAAAAGATTTCCGGTTTTTTTTGTTACACACTGTATAGATAATTAAGATAATAATAAACAAAGATAAGAAAGAGATGATTAGCAATTTGTTCATATGCAATGTTTGTGTAATATGTAAAAAAAGCAAAAGCCCACTACCATGTTGCGTTCTTATACAAAAAATCAGAAAGTTATGAATTTATCGAATTATTCCAATTATCGAGATTTTATTATTACTATAAATATGAAATTATCGAGTAAATTTTTAATATAAGTGGCACTAGTTCCTGAAAAATTATGAATTTATCGCATATGAATTTAACGAGCTTTGACTGTATCTTCTGAAATTCAAAAATTTGATCTGAATGTAACGTTACACTTCATATTCTCCACACTGAAATTATCACTCGTTTAGATCAGCAAAAATCATAACAACAAAAAAAAAATAAAAATGTCGATTCGTGAAATTGAACTAAATCAAAATATTTCTTCTGCTTCTACTACCCCAGTCACCTTTGATACTACTAGTACTAGCATTGTTAAGAGAAAAAGAAAAGCAGCTGGTACCAATACTAATAAAGATAATAAAGGAAGGCAACAAAATTTGAGAAGAAGTGATCGAATTAAATCTAAACAACAACGACAACAACAAAATATTGAAAAAGCTGACAACACTGTGATCAGCAGTAGCAGCACTAATAGGATTAGTGAGACTGAAATCAATAGTATTGATCCTTCTAGTATTGCTACCATTTCAACTGATAATAATAATGATGATAGATCTGATAAAATTGTTACAAGTGATAACAATAATATTAATAATAACAAAGTTGTTGATTTGGAAAACTCTAGTAATGTTACTACTATTAGTGTTGTTGCCGGTAGTAATTCTATTCTTACAGAGGAAAAAGTCAACAAAACTACTAATAAAAGAAAAAGAGCTGATAAACCTGCAAAGAAAATCAAGAAGCAAGATGAAAAACGAATCACTGCTACTAGTCCTTCTTCCTCAAGTACTAATAATAACGCAGACCAAGCCAAAGAAATTCCAACTGTTAAACAAAAAAAAGACAAAAAAAAAGCGCGTTTAGATACAAATATAGCTAAGGAGCCTGGAGAAAAACGCCTTGCGATGATTCGTCGTAGTTGTTCAATGGTAAAATATTAAATTATAAATGTTTTAATGATATTAATGTTAATTAATCGTATTCACTATTTATAGAAAGTAAAAGAGCGTATTGAGCGTGCAATGTCACAAAGGATGTTCCTGGTTGATAGATCTGAAGTTAGTGAATCATATCACAAGTTTGTAGTATTAGGATCAATTGGAAATGTAAATATCATAAAAATATTATTATTTCATTTATTTACTTACATATTTATATATATATATATATATATATGTTTATTTAATTAATTATTTAAAATATTTAAAATAAAGGTTTATAATGTTGAGATTTCGACTCTTCCTAAATGTAGTTGTCCTGATTTTTCGAGAGGTAAAATTAGAAATTTAGTAATTTATTTTTTAAAAAGGCGAACATTTAATTTTTATTTATTTTATTTCCTTCATATTCCAAATAGGGGGAAATCTTTGTAAACATATTGTAAGTTAATAATAATTTTTTAATGATTTATTTATTTCATTTCACAATTATCATCAATTAATTTTCTTGATATAAAATATAAATATAAATAGTTATTTGTATACTTGAAGGTTCTTAGAGTTAATCCTAGTAGCAGTTACATTTATCAAAAGGCATTATTGACTAACGAACTTAGACAAATCTTCCAAAATGCAGCACCAAACCCAACTGTCTTGGTAAGTTAATTAAATATATCAATTTATTTAATAATTTAATAATTTAATAATTTAATAATTTATTCATTCATTTATTCACTGCTCATTAGGCGAATCAAAGAGTTCGTGATAAATATGCAAAGATTGTTGGTGGTGTTAACTCTGGTAGTGATGATGCTAGTAGTGTTAAAAGACCTCGTCAACCAATTGAGGGTGATTGTCCCATCTGGTACGTTTGCAATTAGTGTTATAGTATTATTAATAATAAATAATTTGATTATTCAAATTATAAAATCTCTGATTTTAGTTATGAGACATTGTCGGAAACTGAAAAACTTGTTTGGTGTAAGGATTCTTGTGGAAATAATGTTCATGAGGTTTGTTTCGACCAATGGAAATCTTCAAAACGTAGCAGTGGCGATGAGGTAGGAATGAACGAAAGAATATTTATATAATTGAGATATCATATGAATAATTAATCAATTGTTTGTTGATTTAGATTACTTGTGTTTATTGTCGTAATAAATGGGAAGATGAGAGTGAAATAATTTCTTCAAGTAATGATGATGGATTTATTAATTTGGGTGAAGCACAAGGAATTTCTAGAATAAGAGGTAAACAAATGTTTAATGATTAGAAATAAATTTATTAAAAAAATTTTTCTAATATTATATATATATATATAATATTAGATACATCTACATATAATGAATTTTTCTTGAATCGTCGTTATAATCGTTGGCATTAAAAATATTATAGACATATACAGTATATAAATATATAGCTACTATTGTTAAATGTAAATATGATTCCATTATTATTTTAATTATAATTTCTAATTGAATGTTTATCAAATGTATGGAGTGATGTTTCGCAAACCACGAATACTTTATATTTTGTTTTTTTCTCTAATTAAGGTCAAATAAAAATAATTAGATTTTAGAATGTATTTAAAAGTTATGGTGGCTATAGACTTTGTGCACGATAGTACTCTTATTTTTTTTTTGATACTTAAAGTTGTATAATTAATTAATCATATACCCTGTGTCCATACTTTGATTGTTCCATAGATATTTTCACTTTTTGCGATAATTGCGTTTATCATCCAACATACTTCTTGTAAATGTCCTTGTAAACACCCAACGTATTCACCATTTATTAATCTAACATTAATCTGTAAGTAGTTATTGACATCAGGAAATCTCTATATATTTAAATAGTAGCTCTGATAGGTTAGTTGTTCGTGGTCTTCTGAAGTTCTTCCCACTATGTAGTCTTCAACATTAAAAATATTAATGTATGTCAAGTCAAATGAATAGGCAGACTACTTTTTTAGAATCAACAAAGTTCAGACTTTAAAAGATGAATGATGGTACCAAAAAATATTTGATATATGGTTGGCTCGGTCTAAAGACCTCCTATCGCTGCGCCACATGCTCAAATTTCAAAATTGCGATTTCATGATTTGTTCAAAAATGCAATAAAAACTTTTCAAAAAGGCTTCACGTGATTTTGGTTAAAAAATTTATTTTCCTTCCTGCCAAATTTAGACATGATTGTCGAGTATTAGTCTAAATTTAGTAACGATGAACTAAAACTAGTCTAAATTTAGCAATGATCCTAGCGCTCAAATTCTTCATGAGCATAGTAAAGTACATGTTTTAAAAAAGAATAGAACTCTACAACAAATAATTTTTTTGATAAAATCTCTTTATTACATTAAAATTAAAGACCTATTCCATCAACTAATAGAGCTATTTTTTTAAAAGGTAGGGCAGAAAATGACTTCTATACTTTTAAAATTTGCACAAAATTTAGGAGGTCTTTAGACCAAGCCAACTATATAAATATAATCACCAATTCATGTGACTGTGTAAATATTATTGGCTAATTGAAGATTTTTTTGAATTTTGTGTGAATTTTAATAAATTGTTACCATTGACATTGTAATTACCATTACCAAAAACATACAACTATTAGTGAGCAATTGAAAAGAGAAATTTGTATATATTACCAAGAAAATATTCAAGAAATTGCAAATTATTTTAGTGAGAAAATTTCATTGAATATTGACATCGGTAACAAAAATTTTACATGATAAAGAAAAATGGCTAGATGCTTCATCTACAACTCATCATAATGCTTTTTTGCTGTAGACAAGTGAGGTTTCCTGAACTAGAAAAGCAATGAACATATGGATTGGACAAGTCACTGCAAGTGACCTAACCATTGTTGTTGTTTTTTATATAATTATTATTATATTTTTTTTATTTTTTTTATACATATATCTATCTACTTGGGATGTTAAATAAAATAAAAGATTTATTATAATCACCAAATTTTTTAAAATTACATAGTAAGTGATTATATAGGAGAAATCCTATATAGTCACATTCATTATAATCACCAACAATCGCATTCCTGACGTTGTGATTATATAGGAGTCTGACTGTATCAGAAAATTTTATCAGCTATCAATAGTAATAGCTGATTAACCGTTTATTCATATGAAATTTTGATGAAAATCAAAAAATCGATTCGCATTAATATGAGTTTTCCTGATCCTCATATGCCCCAAAGGTGTGTTGAAATCAACAAAATTACGGAATGGACGTGTCAGTGCAGATAGGAAATATCTACACTGTCTTCCGTCATATGCGTGAAAATCATGCCGGGATCTTTTTAGCAGCCTACAACGAGACAATTGAAAACTTCATTAAACAATTATTATTCTATTATAGTTATTACTTTAATTTTTTTTTTTGCATTGTGTGTTTGTATCAACGCAATAAATTAAAAAGATGACTGCAGAATTATGATATATTAAAGAAAACAAGAAATCATTTTAAAGCTTTTATTTATTAACAAAAGAGAGATATTTTTTATAAATACAATAGTTATTATTAACACACACATTTATAACTTCGAAGCAATTGATCAACATCATTAAGCAATACATAGTTGAATAATTAAATAATACAATTATTACTTTTAATGTTGACTCCATTGGATAGATTTGAGATCTATGCCTTCTTGAACCTATTTAAAAAAAGAGAAAAAAAAGAAATTTAACCATCCGAAACATGACAATAAAAAACGACAAAAATGATAATGATAATAATACCATTTCCCATAGTGGGGACATTTCCCTCAATTTATCAACGTGTTTTGTCACTCTGTCAATCACAAAATCAATTTCTCGTTCAGTTGTAAATCTTCCAATACCAAATCTAATGCTTGAATGTGCTGATTCATCATCAGAACCTAATGCTCTTAACACATAAGATGGTTCTAACGATGCTGATGTACATGCTGACCCTGATGAAAGTGCGATATCTTTAAGTGCCATCAATAAGGATTCACCTTCAATAAAAGAAAATGACAAATTTACACAACCTATAAATGAAAGTTAATTGATTAATTATAATTTATTTTTTTTTTAATAAAAAAAAAGAAGAAAAACAACAATATATTTTCGATACCTGGATAAGTTGATTCGGGATCACCATTACGAATAATATGAGAAACTTTTGACATAATGCCATCAATCAGTCTTTTAGATAATTTTTTTACATGTTCTGAATCATACTTTTTTTTTTATTTTTGATAATTAAAAAAAAACCAATAATTTAATATTTAATAAATATTCTCTTTATAAACGAATAAACAAACAAACTATTCATAGTATAAAATTAGATATTTATAAATTTATTTACCTGCATTTCTTCATTTGCAATTCGACAAGCTTCGCCTAATCCAACAACTAAAGGTGTGGGTACAGTACCGCTTCTTAAACCTCTCTCTTGTCCTCCACCACTTTGTAAAGCTTCTAACCTAACTCTGGGTTTCCTTCTTGCATATAAAGCACCTATCCCTTTTGGTCCATAAAGTTTATGCCCTGAAATACTCATTAAATCAATATTCATCTTATTGACATCCAAAGGTATTTTGCCAACAGCTTGTGCAGCATCTGTATGGAAAAATACTTTATTGTCGTGACAGATTTTACCAATTTCTTCGATAGGTTGCAATACACCAATTTCATTATTTACTGTCATGATAGACACAAGTGATGTATCAGGTCGAATTGATTTTGCCAACAATTCAAGATCTATAAGACCAGAAGATTTAACTGGCAAATATGTTATTTCAAACCCTTCTTCAGATAAAACACGACATGAATCAAGTACGCATTTATGTTCCTATAAATAAATTATCAAATGAATGAAAAACAGTTATAATCAATATACATGTATATATTATTGAAAATTTTGATGTTTACGATTTGTGTTGTGATGATATGTTTTTTTTTGTTCTTATAAAATCTAGCAACTCCTTTAATACTAAGATTATTTGATTCCGTTGCTCCTGATGTGAAAACAATTTCTTTTGGATCAGCTCCTATAATTTTAGCAACATGCTATTATTAAAACAAAGGAAAAAAAAAACAGAGTGTTAAAATAATCTTCTTTTTAGTTATTATTGTTGAATATAGTAACATTTTTTAAAAAAATTTCAAAAGGTTACAGGATATTTATATATATACTTCACGAGCTTTTTCAACAGCCTTTTCAGATTCCCAACCATATGCATGAGTTCTTGAATGAGGATTACCATACTGTTGTGTCCAGTATGGCATCATTGCATCAAGTACTCGTGGATCTGTTGGAGTAGTGGCTTGCATATCAAGATAAATTGGTCGATTTGCATGTTTAATTGATTGTGTTTCAAATCCCAATAATTCTAAGTAAAACAACAATATATATATAAGAATAAATCAAACAAAATAAGTATATATTGATTGAAGATATTTATTATACCTGGTGAGGGGGTAACAAGAGTTTGTGTTTGTGTTGAAAGTGGAGTGGCTCGTAAAACAGGTGATGTAGCGGTGGTAAGCCTTTTTCTTAATGAAAAACCAAATGATATTTTCGGTTGTGAATTTGTTGTGATTAATCTAAAAGTTTTATTTGATAAAAGCTTTGACATTATTTTTTTTGTAAGAAAAATGAATTCGATTAATATTAATAATTAATATTAAATACATACATGTATTAGTATTATAGATTTGATGCCCGTACTACAAATTCTCCATATTTGGTGAAGATGTAGATTCCCAACAAATATGAAAAAAAAATTTTTAATATTTAAATTATTTTTTTGCAATTTGCAAATATCTATAATACGATTATTAATTAATAACTAATAAGATATTACAAATAACTATAAGAATGGGTGCAGCATATGTGATCGCTGGTCGTAAAGTTGCATCTCAATATGTAAGTGGAAATTTTTATAAAAAAATGTTTTTTGTTTCATCATCTAATAATTATTTATTTTATTAGTTAACTCTTGGAACTTATTCGGTAGTTGGATTGGTTGCTTTCCTAGCAATCAGAAGATCTAAGGCAAAAAAACCTGATCCGTTTACTTCCAGTCCACCAATCAATGCGTCTTCAGTTGAAGAGGAATTGTTCATTAAAGAATTTATGAAAAGTGAAGCCGAAGAAAATAAAAATGCTCATTAGATGTATGCAATAATAAACGTGTTTTTCCTTAATGTTCAGATTATTAAATTTTTAATTAAAAAAAAAAATTAAATATTAATATTAATATTAATATAAATAATCAAATCAATATCTTTAGGGTAAATAAATAAAAATTTAAAAATTTGATTAACTAAATAAATGGAAATTACAAGTAAACAGAGGTTAAATAATGCAAAAGATTTTATTTTTATTATGATTGATTTTCATTCTTTTGAGGCTCTTGACCATAAGATTTATTTGCATGTTCTTGAAGTTCTTGACAATTTTATAATTTAAAATCTATATAAAAAAAAGTATTTTACTAAGTAATTAAATATTTAATTTTCCATTTTAAAGTAAATAAAATATCGAATACCTTATCCCAGTCAAGTTTATGACGAGTCAAAGGAGGAACGTAGAAAGAACATTGGAGAATTGGAGTAATTTTTAGGAAAATATCTCAAATGATATTCTAATTAATTTATCAAATTCAATGAGAAGCAAATATATATGAGATAGAATTGATTATTAAAATTTTCATGATATTTTTTTTGCTATAATAATTTTTTGAAATTTGCCATCCAACAATTTTTCCTAAAAATAAGCTTAATATTAAACTGCAATAATTCTGCCAGAAAACCGGTTTCTGAGGTTTTGAAGAAGCCATGCTTTTGTCAATAACCAGAGATTTATACCTTTGTATTGATCGATGCCTCTTTTTGTTTACAATAGCCCAAGTATCTTGTATGAATGTGGAGCAAAACTTATATCTTTAGTGATGAGGAATTATGAGAAGTGTAAGAAAAGCAACGTGACTGTTGAAGGATTTCTCTCATATGGAAAACTGGACAATTGGAAATAAAAACAACTCGATGTGTAACGTTTGTATTTATACATAAGGCTAATATTAAATTTCCAGGGGGGACGTGGCCCTGGAATTTATGGAAATCGCATCATTCATTGTCAAGGAAACTGCTAAAATTAGCGTTGGCCTTTTTCCATTTAGCTGATCACCACTAATGAGTCACTGTGCCTGAGTCAATGGGAACAAATCTTTATTTATCTTATTTGAGGCGTGGACAATAGAACAATATCAATATCTATGATATTGACATTGACCTTGTTTTTATTGTCCTCGCCCATTTACTTAATACATAATAATATCAAACTATTAATTTAACGGTAATTATAGAAAAACTACCAATATTGAAATGACTGAAAAGAATAAAAGATGCAATTATATAGTAAATACCCTTGAAAAATACATTTTAAAAAATTAAATTTCGTGCACCTTAGAAATTTCTTTGTAGTCCGATTGGCATAATAATTTACCACGTGATTTACTTTAACATTTAAACGAGAAGCAAGCAATTTAATATACAAAATATGCCGTTGGTTAAAGGTTTATTTATTTTATTTATTACAATTAATTCATAATTTATTCAAAACTTTCAAGTATCTTACTTTTTATCTTTTTATTCAAGTTGTTGTTAATTGGAGTAAAAAGAAGCACGAGTTGGAAGTTGACACAGATGAGTCAGTTGAAATATTTAAATCTCAAATCTATACAATGACAGGAGTAGCTCCAGAAAGACAAAAAATTATGACTAAAGGAGTATTATTAAAGGTTCGATATTATTATTTTTTTTTTTTTAAATAAAAAAGAAATTGGTTCTAAATTATAATTTTATATATTTATTTTAAAAAAACATACATACAGGATGATACTGATTTTAATACTTTAAACATCAAAGAGGTTAAGAAAACATTTATAAATTCTGATTCAAGAATTTGATCAAGAATCTAAATACTAAACACATTTGATTTTTCTATTTAACATGTAATAGGGACAAAAATTTATGGTAATTATAAATAAAATTTTGATTATGGTTAATGGGTGATTAATAGTACTAAGAAACATGACTTAGATGACGGGAACTATTGGAGAATTGCCAGAAGTGCCACATCAAAAAACTTTATTTATTGAAGATATGTCAGACCAACAGTTAGCAGAAACTGTATGTTTCATTCAATGTGTCTTGATGTTGACATCATTTTTCATCATAAACACACATGTAGTTTATAACCAAAGAAAATTTTAATTTTAATTTTTTGTTGAAATTTTAGCTAAAATTACCATCCGGTTTGACAAACCTTGGGAACACATGTTATATGAATTCTACCTTGCAATGCCTTCGCGCAATTCCTGAATTGCAAGAATCACTTAATAGGTAACTTTTTTTTTCAATTATACGAATTGACAAATACAAATAATCTTAAAATAAAACTTTAACGAGATTTATACCCAAGATCTAAGATTACTATCAGTGACCAAGACAATCAAAGAAACTTGGTCATGTCTTTATGTGAACTTTACAACCAATTGAATCTGACAACTGAAGGATATTCACCATGGAACTTTTTACAAGTTATTAAAAAAAATTATTTTGAATATATGAAATTTTTTTTAGATGTACCATATATAAAATTTTTTGATGATTTTTTAGACATTACGAACAGCTTTTCCTCAATTTGCACAGCGTAATAATCACGGATTTATGCAACAAGATGCCGAAGAATGCTGGTCTCAAATTGTGTCTTCATTGAATGGTCAAAATCTTCTTTTATCTCAAAATGCTGCTGCAGAAGAAGGATCATCAACTTCTAGTACGCAATCTTCATTTGTTGAGAAATATATGACTGGTGAATATACTTCTATGTAAGTATTTAAAGTAAATCTATTAATTTAACTAAAGAAAACTTTCAATTAATGCAAATAAAAATTGCTAGTTTAAAATTAAAACATGATGGGGATGATAAAGAAGCAGCACTAGATGAAGAACCTGTTGTTTCACATGAACCATTTAAAAAGTTAAATTGTCATATTGACGAAAGCAAGTATTTTTTAAAAAAAATATATATATAAGTATTCTAATTAATTGTATGGTTATTAAATTCACTTATTTTTTAAAAAAAAAAATTTATTAGAAATAAATTACATGATAAATGGTATTGATAAGGTAAATGATTTTTTATTTTTAAACTTGTTTATGTATGATTTTTTAAGAAAACTTTTTTAAAAAATTAGGCATTAGATGAAGAACTTGAAAAACATTCACCTACACTAAATCGACAAGCTAAATATACTAAAAAGTCACGTATTAGTCGTCTGCCTTCATACCTTACGGTTCATTTTGTGAGGTTTTTTTGGAAAAGTCAACAACAAATGAGAGCAAAAATCTTGCGCAAGGTTATATTTCCTTTTGAATTTGATGTCACAGAATTTTGTACAGATGAATTAAAGAAAAAATTATCACCAGCAAAGAATCGATTGATTGAATTGGAAAAAGAAAGGGAAGAAGCTAAGGTTTCTATTATTTGAGAATTAAAATAATTGTATAAATTGTATGGAAAATAAAAATTACGTTGTTATTAAATTTTAATGTTTATTTATTATTGTTATTACAGAGAATGAAAAAGCTCACCAAAAATTCTGATCAAAAGGAAATAGAAGAAATAAAAAAAAAAGATGAGTCAGGTATTGAAGAGGTTAAAAAATTAATTGACCCAGATTTGGTAAAAGATGTTGGATCCAATTTCACAGGATTGTATGACCTTTGTGCAGTCTTGACTCATACTGGACGAAGCGCCGATTCTGGTTTGTTTTCTCATCTCATCCATCTCCTTTTCTTTTTTTTGTGAGAAATTAATTAATATTTTTAAAATGTGTGAAAAAATGTCAGGACATTATATTGCTTGGGTGCGCAAAGATGATAATTGTATGTAATAAATATTATATTTTGTTAATCAAATGTGATTTTTTTATAATTAATATTATTTATCATTTATATTTATTTAGCTGATGAATGGATCAAATATGATGACGATAAGGTTTCAACTGTAAAACAAGAAGATATTCAAAAATTGAGTGGTAGTGGTGGTGGTATGTCTTTTTAATATTTATATAATCCATGTTTGTGTATGATTTATTGATGTGATTTATAAAAAATTTATAGGTGATTGGCATATCGCATACATTCTTTTATATAAATCAAAAAAGATTGAATAAAAATTCCTTAAGCAGAATATTTTTCAAATCAATTTATTTACAAAAAAATGTAATTAATGCGCTTTCATTAATCACAATTAAATAGAATCATATTATTTACCTGCGTCAAAAAGTTTCTTTCAATCGAATTAATTATCTTTGTTATTTGTCATAGGTCAAATTAAAAACCATTTCCGTCGAACCTTCTTATAATAATAAGCGGAGTAATAGTAATAGTTTATAATAACAAGCAAAACCTAAGCTTTAAGCCAAAAATATATAACATACATAAAAGAAAGGTTGCCGTGTTACGGTTCCTTAACTAAATGTCGTAATTTCGACATTTTGCGTAACGTTTTTCTGTTTTCTCCCGATCTGCAATTTCGCCCGATTTTGGAAAAGTGTTTGTTCTG